GCATAGGAAATTTTTGTCATAGGCCATTACAATATTGGAATACGAAACTTGAAAAAAATCCGGTGAATAATGTAGCTAAAATCATCAAAATACAGAATATAGGGAAGTCCGTTGTATTGAGGCTATACGAAGACTTGGACCTGTATACGAAATTTTTTGTCATAGGCTGTAGAACTCATTACGAATTCTAAATACGAAATTTGAAACAAATCCATTGAATAATGTCGCTAAAATCGTCAATATATCGAATATCGGCGGGTACCTTTGTATGTAGGCAATTCTTTTTCAGGGGTAAAACAGTCACGAAGAACTCCTTCTGTAGATTTTCAGACAATTTCATTGAACAATTTGGCTACAATCATCAAAATACCGAATATCGGGCGGTCTCGTTACATGGGGGCTATACGATATCATGGACACCTTCGAACTTGACCTGCCTGCAGACAAAATACAGATCGGTGCAAAATTTTAGCTTCCTATCTTTATTCGTTCTTATTCTAGCGTGATTACATCAGACGGACGGACGGAGCTAAATAATCTTAGAATTTTACGCTGATCAAGAACATATATACTTCGTTGAGTCTAAAATTATTATTTTGATGAGTTACAAACGGAATGAGGAACCAAATATACCTTCCATACTATGTATGATGGAAGCTATAAAAAACACCGTCAAACGGAGAACTTTAAGTACCATACCGCAAATAGTTATATTAAAAACCAGTGAGGAAAAGTCAAAAGTCCGGCGGGGCTGACTATATGATACCCTACACCACTATGTATATTTAGCAGAGCTCCCGTAACAAAAGAATTTATTTCAAGCAGATCATACCACCAATCGACATTTGACTTTAGAGCAGTTAAAGTTTGCTATAGAGCGAATGATATCACTTGGATATACTCCTTATATTAGTAAAAAATATATCGGTGCCAAGTTGCAGAAAATGGAAACGTACATCTCGAAATTCCCTCCATTTTGGCTGATATTAGCCATTATTTGCACAATAAATCTGAAATCGGATTCAAGATATATATGGGAGCTAAATCCAAATCTTAGGCGTTCTCGATAAAATTTGGCAAAGGTATTTCCGAACTTTATAAGATATCTGGTACCTTATATCATTCTTGTCGAATGCATATTTCGAATTTGAGGGACTTAAACACCAAATCGGATGAAACATATATATAGGAGCTATAGCTATTTCTGAACCGATTCTCTCCGAACTAGATATACTTGCTTCTAGGCTGAATTCGGTCAGATGTACCAAAATTCAGGACTTTTTGGACTAAAGTTGACCATTTGGTGCACAATTAACCCGAAATCGGTTGAAGATATTTATGGGACCTATATTCATATCTGAACCGATCTTGATAAAATTTGGCATATGCTGTATTTGGTACCAAAGTTTGTTGTTGTGGAATGCATATTACGCCTTTGAGGGATTTTAGACCCCATATCGGATAAACATATATATGGGAGCTTTATCTATATCTGAACCGATTTACACCAAATTTTAAGTACTGGTTTATAGGATGAATTCAATCCATTTGGCTAGATATTAGCCAAGTGGTCACAAAAAATCAGATATAGGATAGAAATGTATATGGGAGTTACATCCTAATCTGAACCGATCTCGATAAAATTTGACAGAGGTGTTTTCGAGCACTATCTGGTGTCCAGTACCAAACATCATTCTTCTGGAGTGCATATTACGCATGTGAGGGACTTAAAACCCCATATCGGATGAAACATATATATGGGAGCTATAGCTGAACCGTTTCTCACAGAATTTGATGTACTTGCTTCAAGACTGAATTCGGTTGGACGTGCCAAAATTCAGGTCATTTGGACTTATATTGGCCATTTTGGCCCGAAATCGGTTGAAGATATTTAAGAACAATAGGCCACTAGATCTTATTTTTTATTCCTTAATGGCAAATAAGTATTTTTTTGTAGCCAAATAATAACTACTAAATTGTCGAATTATTTTGGGCCAAGAAATACCCAATAATTTTAAGTTTACTCGTCCATGCAAAAATAATGGGTTAGTTACATTTGTAATGATTTTCATTGCTATGATGTTTTTCACTGAGACATCTAAATATATGCCCATATACCGCGTAAAATTTCAACCTCTCAAGTGCTTACAAAGTTCCGCAAGAACTAGGTCAGTGGAGTACACTACGAAGTTTATCCTATTAACTTAAATTAGTTGGAGTCATAGTGATCAGTTTTAATTAATATTTCGCTCAGTACCATTTCTAATTCTCCATAGATTTGGACCTAAATCTAGCTCCACCACTTGATGTTCTTGAGAACTTCAACAATGACAAATTATAGTATAATAGGCATTGTATATATTTTTTCACATCAATCTATTGAACTTTTGGTTTTGTTATTTTCACAAAACAAAACAGCTTTTTACCACTTAATAATAACTCAAAACAATTTCTTTGTTTAAGCAGGGCATGACCATTAAATCTTTCTCTCTCTCTCTCTCTCCGCTGTCACAAACGCTTTGTGATACAAGAACTAAAATCAAAACAATATGACACGAAAACGCCAAACCAAAAACAAAACAAATGAAAAATAATGCCAAGAAAAACAAACAAAAGCCGCTTAAAGTGGCAAATGAAAAATGGTTAAATGGTCTTACGGCAGACAGACAACAACTAAAGCGTGGGCTATTCTCTGTCTAGCAAGTGGGCAACGTTAGGCCCTTGATCTTGCATCCAATTGAGTTGAACAAGAATTTTGTGTGTCACTAGAACTGTGAGAGAAATTCGAAAAGATGTATGGCTGTGTTTCCTGACTTACTTGTAATGTTGTTTTAGAAGTCATTACACCATTGCAATTTCGTTGGCGCTAAAGAATCTGTTCAACTATAAACTGTAACATTATTATATAATTACTAGTCTCCGTACACTTCCGCTATTTTTTGACGGACGTACTAAACTAAAATTGATCAATATGGTTGCTATTGTATGGCAGAGTTAAATGATGATAAGATTGTGGTGTATATATACAAGGTGAGATGAAAAAACTGCAACCAACTTCAGACTGTTGTCATTTCTAAGCCACTCGTCCTACAGCTGTTGAAATTATTCCTGTGATAGCTCATTATATTGTTTACAAGCGTATAAAAGCATTTTGGTGAGAATTTTTCATACAAAAAGTTATTCGTGAACTGCCGAATTTGGTTTTTTCCGAAGAGAAAACATTCGTTGTCCAGTAGTTTGTAAACAAACAAAATGACAGTGTTTACTTGCCAAAGAGGTCAGCTGAAAATGTGCACCTTCGGTTGGCCACCAGTACTCAAGCGCCGGCCTTTGTGATGGTGTGGGCCCCATAACAGCCGATGGTCGCTCTCCGATCGTATTAATCGACAGTGGCATCAGAATAAATGCCGAATATTATTGCGAAAATATTCTGGAGGGTGTATTAAAGCCTTGGGCACGCAAACATTTTCACCACAGACCTTGGACATTCCAACAGGACACAGCACTATCGCACTCAGCACGCGCCACCCAAGAATGGTTACAAAATGAAGTTCCTCGCTTCATTTCCAGCGCACAATGGCCACCAAAATCTCCGGATACCAATCCGTTGGACTAATGTGTCAGAAGTATTTTGGAGAGCAAGGTTGGCACTAAAAATAGTTCGCACCTCAAGCAAGCGCATCGACTGGAATGGGCCAAAATAACATAGTGCAACATTCGGGCAGCGTGTGACGGCTTCATTGACCGTTTGAAGGCCATAATTCGTGCCAAAGGTGACCAATTCGAACAAATCTAAACATATTCTAAAATTTGATGCTATTTCCGACATTTTTTGCTTTCATTCAAAAATTAAAAAAAAAGAAAAAATTACGGCGTTTGTCTTTGTTGCAGTTTTTTTATCTGACCCTGTCTTGATCTGGCTGTTGTAATCTCGCTATCTTTAAAAACGAATTGAAATAGAAGGCTAAAATTTTGAACACATGTGTATTTTGCCAGTTGGCAGGTTAACTTCGTAAATGGGTGAAGTCGGTCCACGTTTGCAGATGGTCCCGGTACCTCTCAATATTCGGTATTTTGATGATTTAGCTCATTATTCACCGGAATTGTTTCAAATTTCGTATTTGTAGTTCGTAATGGGTACAACAGCCTATGACTAAAAATTGTCTATGCAGGTCCACGTCTTCGTATAGCCCCCATATATCGATATCTCTGGATATTCTGAATTTTGATGATTTTAGCGACATTATTCACCGGAATTGTTTCAAAATTCGTATCTTAAATTCGTTATGGGTACCACAACCTATGGCAAAAAAAATTGTCTATGCAGGTCGACGTATTATACACCGTTTCAAAATTCGTATTTGAAGTTCGGCATCTGTAATATAGTCTATGACAAAAAATTACTTATGAAGGAGGGTATTTAAAAATTCGGCCCGACCGTACTTAGCTACTTTTTTAATTTTTGTCGCTTTATTCCATCTTCACACCAAATCTTGTTGGTAATCGTATTGGGATGTTCCATATTTGGAAAGAATTTCGAAGTTTATAAGTATTATGGTCATTCAAAATAATGACCCATTGTGGGGGAGGTACTAGACTTCCAATGCCACACCAAAATGGTACTAAAAGCATTACAATCCCATTTAAAGGAACTAAAAAATAAATGTTGTAGGACACTTCTGCCCAAGAATACATCATTAATCTTCACGTACCCTCTCTTACACAATATAAACAATAACAGTTCAATGACAACTTTGTGTTGCAGGGAGACAGAGATATATCTAACATACGTTAATCAAACTCAAGAGAATAAAACCGGATGCAAAATAATAAAAACTAACTTAAACAAAAAATCATCTCTCTCTCCCCATTTGTCATTAATCATCGCGCAGTACCACTCAAAGAAGATGTAACACATAACTGATCAAGACTTCTTTCCCTCGAACGCAAATAATACAGTTACAATAAGAAGAAGAACAATATGCGGAAGAACAACTTACTTGCAAAAGAGCTATGACCAGCTGAATGGGACCACAGCGTACCACAACGGTGCCAATTGTTGTTGCCCGTAATCCTTGCATTGATGATGTTCCACTGGCGATGCTGTCACTTTGTGATATTTGTGGCATTAATTGATTACCAGCTGGCCCGACGCCGCCACCTCCACCTTGGCCACTGGGTGTGGGTGATGGTGCCGTCGACGATGGAGGATAGTGACGAGACGGAGTCTGTGATATATTAGAGCCGGAATACAAAGATGACATTGACGAATCCAAGGTCCGATGACGTTCCATAGTGTTGTTGTTGCTGCTTAAAGTTTCGACTATTCCTATTTATATTTACAATTTGCGTGCGTTGTGGGTGCTTTGTTTTGTTGTTGTTGTTGCTTTTATTTCAGTTGATCGATGATGAAATCCTTGTGTACTTGTTTCTTTTGCTGTTGAAATTAGTTCGTTTATTGGTGCAGTTCGTCGTTTATGTGAACATTTAATTAATTTATTTCATATTTTATGCAGCCAATTTATATACATTTTTATCTAGATTTTTGAAAATGTCAAATTAAATTTGTCTAACTTTCACTCAATTTGGCCTGAGGCTGAAATAATTGCTCGGTCTAACCGTCGATTATGTAAATATGATTCTAAGATTATGTAAATTCACAATAGACTCTTCAGTACTGAATTATTAATTAAAACTATTTACTTAAATATTATTGCAAATAGGTAGTACTTTCTTTTAATGTTTTGCTTCCAAGAAGGGAAATATCAGAATAGCGATATTTGTAGGGGGTTCTCGAATCCTGAGTTTAAATACTATCTTGCGAAATAAAGTTAAACCAGAAAGGAAAAGTCGGGCGGGGCCGACTATATGATACCCTAAACCACTGTGTATATTTAGTAGTGCTCCCGTAACAAAAGGATTTATTTGAAGTATCAACTTTTGGCCTTAGAACAGTTATAATTTGGTTTCGAGGGAACTAATATTTGGAAGGCATATCCATTTCTGAATCGATTTTCGCTAAATTTTACGGAGACATTTTTATCTTTTATACCAAACAATTATATCATTGTTGTCGAATGCATATTACGAAAGTGAAGGATTTAAAGACCCAAATGGGATGAGATGAAAAAACTGCAACCAACTTCAGACTGCTGTCATTTCTAATCCACTTGTCCGACAGCTGTTAAAATTATTCCAGTGACAGATCATTATATAGTTTACAAGGGTACAAAAGCATTTTGGTGAGAATTTTCAAGAAAAAAAGTTATTCGTGATGGAATTCAAGCGTGATAGTGTGATTTCTTTATATTTGGCTGGAAAATCATAACTGGCAATCGTTAGAGGACTCCAGTATTTAAATGTGAATGAATATTTTGTGTCACGTAACATCGCTCATTACACTGATACTGGTAGCCTGGTAGCATAACCCGACGTCAAGGAAATGGACGGAAGAAAACAGCAACATCAGCAGAAATGGTTCGTAAAGTAAACAAGCGACTTGATAGAAACCCGCGTCGCAGTGGCCGAAAAATGGCTCGTGAGCTGAACATATCATTCCATTTGGCAAACATTGAAAAATGGGCTCGGGGTAAAGCCATTGAAATTCCAAAAACTGCAACAACTTTCACCACAACAGAAAGAAAATAGACTCAAATGAGCTAAAGAGTTGCTTCACTTGGCCGAAAGTGGTGAACTGCCGAATTTGGTTTTCTCCGATGAGAAAACATTCGATGTCCAGCCGTTTGTAAACAAACAAAATGATCGTGTTTACTTGCCAAAGAGGTCTGCTGATAATGTACACCTTCGTTTGGCCACCAGAACTCAAGCGCCGGCCATGGTGATGGTGTGGGCCGCCATAACCGCCGATGATTGCTCTCCGCTCGTATTAATCGACCAGAGCATCAGAATAAATGCCGAATAATATCGCGAAAGTATTCTGGAGGGTTATTAAAGCCTTGGGCACGCAAACATTTTGGCCGCAGACCTTGGACCTTCGAACAGGATTCAGCACCATCGCACTCTGCACGCGCCACTCAAGAATTGTTACAAAATGAACCTCGCTTTATTTCCAACGCACAATGGCCACCAAAATCTTCGGATACCAATCCGTTGGACTATTGTGTCAGGAGTATTTCGGAAAGCAAAATTGACACTAAAAAAATACCAAAGTGTCGATCACCTCAAGCAATAGCTTCGATGGGAATGGACCAAAATACCGCAGAGCAACATTCGGGCAGCATGTGACGGTTTCATAGACCGTTTGAAGGCCATAATTCGTGCCAAAGGTGACCAATTCGAATAAATCTAAACTTATTTTAAAATGTGATGCTATTTCCAACATTTTTAGATTTCATTCAATAAAATTTAAAAAAAAATTAAAAATTATAGGGTTTGACTTTGTTGCAGTTTTTTCATCTCACCCTGTATGGTATGAGTGGTATTGTGGGTGAAGTAATTGAGCTGAAACCGTGAAATTTTATATTGCGATAACCGTTGGTGTCTACGATTGAGATATAAAACGGTTTTGCACATGAGTACTACGAAATTTGGTATTGAGCTCTAATCTCGAAATTTTATATTGAGGTCTCTGTTGGTGGTTTTGAAAATGCGAACTATAATTGTACTAAGTGGTATTAAATTGGGTATTATTTAAATGGATAGAGCTTGTTGGTTTCTAGGGAGACGTTTAAATATTTTGGGACGTGGGTCCATTGTGCAATGATTTCACTAATATCCTCCTCTGTAAACTTCAAAATTAAAAATTTGAAGACTTTTTGGTAGAAAAAGGTTAACATTCTTTCCGAAAATGGAAAAACTTGATGTATGAAGTTTTGACTAAAAAAGGTTGTCAAACTTGAACTAATGGATGAACTGTGGGAAAAAATCTAAAACTTTAAGTTGAACATTATGCTGACAAAGTAGCGCGTACTTGTTAACCTCTAAATAAATAACGGACTAAATACACTCCACCATTATACCGAGGTCCAGAACACCTGGAGCTGTGTAGACAATTTGCTGCCAACATTTGGAACAAATCTAATGAAAAATGGGACCAAAATAACGAATATCGGTAGGATTCAAATACTAACTGCCGATTTATAAAAAATGCAATCGAAAAATATTATCGTTATCTGTGGGGTATACCAAATCGTGAGCCTATATGGGCCATTTTCAATTCCAAAATTCTTCCTACCTAAAATACATTTCAGTAAAATTTTTTCAACCTATCCAGTGAGTGAGGACAGAGTGATTTCCTTAGACGGACAGAGGACTTTGCGAAAAAAACTCATGAAAATGCCGAATTTCGGGAGGGATTTATAGGAAATTTGGCACAATTTTGACATTACATTGAATACAGCATAAATTCACTGACCATAGAAATTACAAGGAATGAATTATCTGATGTATTGTTTAAAAGTTCTTGGAGAGAAATTCCCTCTCAATTATTCAAAACACCCAATTTTTTTCTGAAACACATAAATCAGTACCAGAACCGTTTTAAACTAATTTGAAAATTGAAATTTGAAAAAAAAAACTATATCAAGAAAAATTATAAATGTTTGTGTAGGTCATCAATTAATTTCAGCCTCAGGCAAATCAATGCGTGAAATTAATAAAAAAAATTGTTAAAACTATTTCACAAAAAAAAAACCATTAATAGCTTTTCAAAAACATTTATTAAAATTGCAAGACTATTTTAATATTAGTTTTATAATTGCACTAGACGTATCCAACTATGTGGTAATTATATCTCTCATAGACGCTTTCACAATTTCACTTGTTTTAATTATTCAAAACACCCAATTTTTTTCTGAAACACATAAATCAGTACCAGAACCGTTTTAAACTAATTTGAAAATTGAAATTTGAAAAAAAAAAACTATATCAAGAAAAATTATAAATGTTTGTGTAGGTCATCAATTAATTTCAGCCTCAGGCAAATCAATGCGTGAAATTAATAAAAAAAAATTGTTAAAACTATTTCACAAAAAAAAAAAACATTAATAGCTTTTCAAAAACATTTATTAAAATTGCAAGACTATTTTAATATTAGTTTTATAATTGCACTAGACGTATCCAACTATGTGGTAATTATATCTCTCATAGACGCTTTCACAATTTCACTTGTTTTAAATTAATTTGTCATTGTCTGTAAAAATAAACAATTATTTTGTTGTGGCTTCTTTGTCATTTTGCACAATTAATTATTCAAGTCGCAGCAGCTGTAACAATTCTCATATTCGTTTCTTTTCACAAATTCCTTATTTATTTTTATGTTTAATTCACTTTTTTGTTTATGCACAAATTCGGGATGAATTATTTTTGGCTAAGTTTGATGCTGATTTTGTGTGGCGAAAAACATGTAGATATATCACTACGCATATATATAGAAATATATTTTTTGCGGTTTTGTTTGATATTTTTTTCCACAATTTATATTTATAAAATTTATAATTCTTTTGTTCCGCTGAATTCCTTTCACGCACATTTTTTATTTACTTTTGTCATTATACAATTTTGAATTTTTAGGAAAATATTTTCCTTTAAATTTCTATTTACTTTTTTCAAAATTAGTCGTTAGTTTAAATTAATTCGTTTTATATTTTTTTACAAATAATTCGTTTCAATTTTGCCAAACAAAATAACATTTAAAAATAATTTAATTTCGCTTAAATTGTTTTTATTTTGTTTTTTTGTTAGTTTCTCAAATGCTCGCACCGTCGTTGCTCTCGTACATCTAACCGGCTGTGCGGAACTCAGTCCAACTCACAACCCATTCGATGTGATTTCGAGACCATCGATCGTTTTTTTCTCATCGAAATGGGGCTGATGGTTGGTCGGTCGGCTAATGGGAGATGTTGGGGGTCGTTGTGGCTGTTGTTGTTGTTGTTGTGGTTCTTGTATATAGGTCTACGTGAAACGGTATGACTTCATACTCGCCGTAGTGAACGGCTGTTTTTGTTTTACAAAAACAACAAAATGATCATATAAACTGAATTTAATAGTACAACAACGTAACAAATCGACATACCAACATACATACAGGCATACATACATACAAACAAACGTACGTTGAAACTCTCAATGAAGAGATAGATTCATTTGAATATTTTAAAGCAAAATATTCATTAGACTTTAAAAAAACAAGACAATTTTTTATGGCGTTCTTCCACAACCACAACAACAACAACAAAAACTACACAAGAGAGCCGACATGCTGTTCATTGTTTATATGTGAAAAATCATACTGTTGTTGTTGTATTCTCTTTTTATTTTTTACGTGAACATTGTTGCTAATGCTCGTGGCTGTAATCTAATTTATTGTTGTATGTTGCGTATCGCGAACGCGTACTCAAATCACTGAAGAGGAACAGCATAAACTAGCTGTGATCCACGAAGATGACGAATGAAAAAAAAAAATACCAGAAGATGTGAATCTAAACATTTTGCTCACCAATACTATACAATTCATTAATGGTCAGTCACTACAGTGGCGATTCTTAATATTATTACACCTAATGGATTGCTTCCTTAT